ACATAATGTCCAGTGAGTCCTTGTCTCCACCACGCTAAGCTAGGTGTATTCCATGTGTATATCTGTGTAGCTAGCTGTTACAGTACATAATGTCCAGTGAGTCCTTGTCACCACCACGCTGAGCTAGGTGTACTCCATGTGTATATTTGTGTAGCTACCTGTTACAGTACATAATGTCCAGTGAGTCCTTGTCACCACCACGCTAAGCTAGGTGTCCTCCATGTGTATATCTTTGTAGCTAGCTGTTACAGTACATAATGTCCAGTGAGTCCTTGTCACCATCACGCTAAGCTAGGTGTACTCCATGTGTATATCTGTGTAGCTACCTGTTACAGTACATAATGTCGCGTGAGTCCTTGTCACCACCACGCTAAGCTAGGTGTCCTCCATGTGTATATCTGTGTACCTAGCTGTTACAGTACATAATGTCCAGTGAGTCCTTGTCACCACCACGCTAAGCTAGGTGTCCTCCATGTGTATATCTGTGTAGCTACCTGTTACAGTACATAATGTCCAGTGAGTCCTTGTCATCACCACGCTACGCTAGGTGTCCTCCGTGTGTATATCTGTGTAGCTACCTGTAACAGTACATAATGTCCAGTGAGTCCTTGTCACCACTACGCCAAGCTAGGTGTACTCCATGTGTATATCTGTGTAGCTAGCTGTTACAGTACATAATGTCCAGTGCGTCCTTGTCACCACCACGCTAAGCTAGGTGTCCTCCATGTGTATATCTGTGTAGCTAGCTCTTACAGTACATAATGTCCAGTGAGTCCTTGTCACCACCTGGCTAAGCTAGGTCTCCTCCATGTGTATATCTGTGTAGCTACCTGTTACAGTACATAATATCCAGCGGGTCCCTGTCACCACCTCGCTAAGCTAGGTGTCTTCCATGTGTATATCTGTATAGCTAGTTGTTACAGTACATAATGTCCAGTGAGTCCTTGCCACCACCACGCTTAGCTAGGTGTCCTCCATGTGTATATCTGTGTAGCTACCTGTTACAGTACATAATGTCCAGTGAGTCCTTGTCTTCACCACGCTAAGGTAGGTGTCCTCCATGTGTATATCTGTGTAGCTACCTGTTACAGTACATAATGCCCAGTGAGTCCTTGTCACCACCACGCTAAGCTAGGTGTCCTCCATGTGTATATCTGTGTAGCCAGGTGATACAGTAGTTCTACATAATGTCCAGTGAGTCCTTGTCACCACCACGCTAAGCTAGGTGTCTTCCATGTGTATATCTGTGTAGCTAGCTGTTACAGTACATAATGTCCAGTGAGTCCTTGTCACCACCACGCTAAGCTAGGTGTACTCCATGTGTATATTTGTGTAGCTACCTGTTACAGTACATAATGTCCAGTGAGTCCTTGTCACCACCACGCTAAGCTAGGTGTCCTCTATGAGTATATCTGTGTAGCTAGCTGTTACAGTACATAATGTCTAGTGAGTCCTTGTCACCATCACGCTAAGCTAGGTGTACTCCATGTGTATATCTGTGTAGTAAGCTGTTACAGTACATACTGTCCAGTGAGTCCTTGTCACCACCACGCTAAGCTAGGTGTCCTCCATGTGTATATCTGTGTAGCTACCTGTTATAGTACATAATGTCCAGTGAGTCCTTGTCACCACCACGCTAAGCTAGGTGTCCCCATGTGTATATCTGTGTAACTAGCTGTTACAGTACATAATGTCCAGTGAGTCCTTGTCACCACCACGCTAAGCTAGGTGTACTCCATGTGTATATCTGTATAGCTAGCTGTTACAGTACATAATGTCCAGTGAGTCCTTGTCACCACCACGCTAAGCTAGGTGTCCTCCATGTGTATATCTGTATAGCTAGTTGTTACAGTACATAATGTCCAGCGGGTCCTTGTCACCACCTCGCTAAGCTAGGTGTCCTCCATGTGTATATCTGTGTAGCTAGCTGTTACAGTACATAATGTCCAGTGAGTCCTTGTCACCACCACGCTAACCTAGGTGTTCTCCATTTGTATATCTGTATAGCCAGCTGATACAGTAGGTCTACATAATGTCCAGTGAGTCCTTGTCACCACCACGGTAAGTTAGGTGTATTCCATGTGTATATCTGTGTAGCTAGCTGTTACAGTACATAATGTCCAGTGAGTCCTTGTCACCACCACGCTAAGCTAGGTGTACTCCATGTGTATATTTGTGTAGCTACCTGTTACAGTACATAATGTCCAGTGAGTCCTTGTCACCACCACGCTAAGCTTAGTGTCCTCCATGTGTATATCTGTGTAGCTAGCTGTTACAGTACATAATTTCCAGTGAGTCCTTGTCACCATCACGCTAAGCTAGGTGTACTCCATGTGTATATCTGTCTAGCTACCTGTTACAGTACATAATGTCCAGAGAGTCCTTGTCACCACCACGCTAAGCTAGGTGTCCTCCATGTGTATATCTGTGTAGCTAGCTGTTACAGTACATAATGTCCAGTGAGTCCTTGTCACCACCTCGCTAAGCTAGGTGTCCTCCATGTGTATATCTGTGTAGCTACCTGTTCCAGTACATAATATCCAGCGGGTCCTTGTCACCACCTCGCTAAGCTAGGTGTCCTCCATGTGTATATCTGTGTTGCTAGCTCTTACAGTACATGATGTCCAGTGAGTCCTTGTCACCACCACGCTAAGCTAGGTCTCCTCCATGTGTATATCTGTGTAGCTACCTTTTATAGTAGATAATGTCCAGTGAGTCCTTGCCACCACCACGCTAAGCTAGGTGTCCTCCATGTGCATATCTGTGTAGCTACTTGTTACAGTACATAACATCCAGTGAGTCCTTGTCACCACCACGCTAAGCTAGGTGTCCTCCATGTGTATATCTGTGTAGCTACCTGTTACAGTACATAATGTCCAGTGAGTCCTTGTCATCACCACGCTACGCTAGGTGTCCTCCGTGTGTATATCTGTGTAGCTACCTGTAACAGTACATAATGTCCAGTGAGTCCTTGTCACCACTACGCCAAGCTAGGTGTACTCCATGTGTATATCTGTGTAGCTAGCTGTTACAGTACATAATGTCCAGTGCGTCCTTGTCACCACCACGCTAAGCTAGGGGTCCTCCATGTGTATATCTGTGTAGCTACCTGTTACAGTACATAATGTCCAGTGAGTCCTTGTCACCACCTGGCTAAGCTAGGTGTCTTCCATGTGTATATCTGTATAGCTAGTTGTTACAGTACATAATGTCCAGAGAGTCCTTGCCACCACAACGCTTAGCTAGGTGTCCTCCATGTGTATATCTGTGTAGCTACCTGTTACAGTACATAATGTCCAGTGAGTCCTTGTCATCACCACGCTAAGGTAGGTGTCCTCCATGTGTATATCTGTGTAGCTACCTGTTACAGTACATAATGTCCAGTGAGTCCTTGTCACCACTACGCTAAGCTAGGTGTCTTCCATGTGTATATCTCTATAGCTAGTTGTTACAGTACATAATGTCCAGAGAGTCCTTGCCACCACCACGCTAAGCTAGGTGTCCTCCATGTGTATATCTGTGTAGCTAGCTGTTACAGTACATAATATCCAGCGGGTCCTTGTCACCACCACGCTAAACTAGGTGTCCTCCATGTGTATATCTGTGTAGCTACCTGTTACAGTACATAATGTCCAGAGAGTCCTTGTCACCACCACGCTAAGCTAGGTGTCCTCCATGTGTATATCTGTGTAGCTACCTGTTACAGTACATAATATCCAGTGAGTCCTTGTCACCACCTCGCTAAGCTAGGTCTCCTCCATGTGTATATCTGTGTAGCTACCTGTTACAGTACATAATGTCCAGTGAGTCCTTGCTACCATCACGCTAAGCTAGGTGTCTTCCATGTGTATATGTGTATAGCTAGTTGTTACAGTACATAATGTCCAGAGAGTCCTTGCTACCACCACGCTTAGCTAGGTGTCCTCCATGTGTGTATCTGTGTAGCTACCTGTTACAGTACATAATGTCCAGTGAGTCCTTGTCATCACCACGCTAAGCTAGGTGTCCTCCATGTGTATATCTGTGTAGCTACCTGTTACAGTACACAATGTCCAGTGAGTCCTTGTCACCACTACGCTAAGCTAGGTGTCTTCAATGTGTATATCTCTATAGCTAGTTGTTACAGTACATAGTGTCCAGAGAGTCCTTGCCACCACCACGCTAAGCTAGGTGTCCTCCATGTGCTATCTGTGTAGCTAGCTGTTACACATAATGTCCAGTGAGTCCTTGTCACCACCACGCTAAGCTGTGTCCTCCATGTGTATCTGTATAGCTACCTGTTACAGTACATAATGTCCAGTGAGTCCTTGTCACCACCACGCTAAGCTGGTGTCCTCCATGTGTATCCATGTGTATATCTGTGTAGCTAGCTGTTACAGTACATAATAATGTCCAGTGAGTCCTTGTCACCACCACGCTAAGCTAGGTGTCCTCCATGTGTATATCTGTGTAGCTACCTGTTACAGTACATAATGTCCAGTGAGTCCTTGTCACCACCACGCTAAGCTAGGTGTCCTCCATGTGTATATCTGTGTAGCTAGCTGTTACAGTACATAATGTCCAGTGAGTCCTTGTCACCACCACGCTAAGCTAGGTGTCCTCCATGTGTATATCTGTGTGAGCCTACCACGCTGTTACAGTACATACATAATGTCCAGTGAGTCCTTGTCACCACCACGCTAAGCTAGGTGTCCTCCATGTGTATATCTGTGTAGCTAGCTGTTACAGTACATAATGTCCAGTGAGTCCTTGTCACCACCACGCTAAGCTATATGTCCTCCATGTGTATATCTGTGTAGCTAGCTGTTACAGTACATAATGTCCAGTGAGTCCTTGCCACCACCACGCTAAGCTAGGTGTTCTGGAAGGGTTCATGTGTAGCTGCCCATATCTGCATCACACCGGGGTGACCAGAGGTTAGTTCATCATCTGCACACACAAGTCGTTTTCTCATATATTGTATTATCAGGAGGTTTTATGCCAACACTTCTTCTCTGCAGGTATTCCAAAGACGAATGGATGGGTCGGTGGATTTTAGCAGAACCTGGGACGAGTACAGAAAGGGATTCGGATACATTGGGACTGAATTCTGGCTAGGTAAAATACACACCGGACTGAATAATGTATTATATATATATACTCATTCTATTGCTTCTTCTATGAATTCTTTCCACTAATTATTGCATCTAACCCAAATACCATTCTCGTTTTCTCGCCTTTGACAAAAAGAGAATGATCACGAGAATGCGAGATCGCGAGATTCTGGCCAAATCTAGCGTTCTTCCGATCACACATTCTGACACTTTTGGCATAATTTTGGCATAATTTTGGCATGTTAAGCTTGTTTACAACGGTCGAGATCGCCCAGAACTTGAGAGCCCGGACCACAACGGTATTCTAGACAGACGCTGTCTTGCAGTTTCTCTGGGTGTAGTGTCTCTTATTAGCAGAGGTAAACCCCCGACCTTAGACTGAGTGTCAGGTAAAATTGTTTTTTTGAAAATATCCGATTCCTTTGAAGCCGAAAGGTATTCCAATGAAGTAAGGCATTGTGGCCATCGAAACTGAACAGAATCCACTTGCTGATAATGCCCAATATGCCCCGTCATCAACACATTGAGATAAAATGCCCTTACATATCTAGATCTAGATCATGTTTTAAGACCTGCAGATCACATTATCAACGTATGGTTCAGTGATGAAAGACGCTGCACTTTCCTATGCAGAATCATTTAGGTGTCGAGCCCAAAACCTATCATCGTGGGTTCGAATCCCGGTTTGTCCAGATTATGTTTCTGGGAATGCTGGCACCACACCCACGCTCATGGGTTTCACTAAATTAGTGAACAGCTATGTCTAGCACCGTTGCAAGACTCCGGGCTTTCTGGGCACACGGTGATATAACTGAAACAATGTTCAAAAGAAGCGCCCTACTTGACTCGGATTCTGCGATAGGGTAGCCTAGTAGTTATAGCGTTCGCCGTCACGCCGAAGGCCCGGGTTCGGTTCCCCACATGTGTACAATGTGTGAAGCCCATTTCCGGTGTCCCCGTCGTGATATTGCTGGAATATTGTTAAAGGCGGCGTTCATTTTCAACGACCTCCGTGATTAAGATCATGCTTCATCACCTTCTACTATTCAATCATTCACTAATCAATATCATATGTTTATAATCTTCATTCCGATTACCATAAGCTGTATGTTTAAGGCAATGATAATATCCATTGGCTAACGTCTCGGAAAGACTACAAGCTTCGTATCGACCTCGCAGACTTTGAAGACAACACATGCGTGTCTACCTATCAGCAATTCGCCCTCGCCGACGAGGATAGCTTTTACATGCTGTCCACAGATGGCTACTCTGGAGAGTGTCGTGAGTATTTTCCAGTTGACCTTTACCTCTTCGTGTCCGATACATTACATGTTTGTGTCAGAAGGACCTGCTCATGGTACATTTCCTGGAAAGTGAGTGAGTTTAATTGTACGCGCACTCAGCAATATTCCAGCTATATGGCGGCGATCTGTAAATAACCGAGTCTGGACCTGACAATCCAGTGATCAACAGCATAAACATCGATCTACGCAATTGAGATACAATGACATGTGTCAACCAAGTCAGCGAGCCTGACCACCCGTTCCCGTCATTCAGCAATTTGAACCCATCGACATGGTCGATATTCAGGATATCATGCATCAAGTTACTGTAAGTTTTCCTGATCTTGAGACTGTTTGACTCGCTTTGTCAGTAACCATGTGATATTCAGGATATCATGCATCAAGTTACTGTAAGTTTTGCTGATCTTGAGACTGTTTGACTCGCTTTGTCAGTAACCATGTGATATTCAGGATATCATGCATCAAGTTACTGTAAGTTTTCCTGATCTTGAGACTGTTTGACTCGCTTTGTCAGTAACCATGTGATATTCAGGATATCATGCACCAAGTTACTGTAAGTTTTCCTGATCTTGAGACTGTTTGACTCGCTTTGTCAGTAACCATGTGATATTCAGGATATCATGCACCAAGTTACTGTAAGTTTTCCTGATCTTGAGACTGTTTGACTCGCTTTGTCAGTAACCATGTGATATTCAGGATATCATGCACCAAGTTACTGTAAGTTTTCCTGATCTTGAGACTGTTTGACTCGCTTTGTCAGTAACCATGTGATATTCAGGATATCATGCATCAAGTTACTGTAAGTTTTGCTGATCTTGAGGCTGTTTGACTCGCTTTGTCAGTAACCATGTGATATTCAGGATATCATGCATCAAGTTACTATAAGTTTTGCTGATCTTGAGGCTGTTTGACTCGCTTTGTCAGTAACCATGTGATATTCAGGATATCATGCACCAAGTTACTATAAGTTTTGCTGATCTTGAGACTGTTTGACTCGCTTTGTCAGTAACCATGTGATATTCAGGATATCATGCATCAAGTTACTGTAAGTTTTCTCTGATCTTGAGACTGTTTGATCTTGAGGCTGTTTGACTCGCTTTGTCAGTAACCATGTGATATTCAGGATATCATGCACCAAGTTACTGTAAGTTTTGCTGATCTTGAGACTGTTTGACTCGCTTTGTCAGTAACCATGTGATATTCAGGATATCATGCACCAAGTTACTATAAGTTTTGCTGATCTTGAGGCTGTTTGACTCGCTTTGTCAGTAACCATGTGATATTCAGGATATCATGCACCAAGTTACTATAAGTTTTGCTGATCTTGAGGCTGTTTGACTCGCTTTGTCAGTAACCATGTGATATTCAGGATATCATGCATCAAGTTACTATAAGTTTTGCTGATCTTGAGGCTGTTTGACTCGCTTTGTCAGTAACCATGTGATATTCAGGATATCATGCATCAAGTTACTATAAGTTTTGCTGATCTTGAGGCTGTTTGACTCGCTTTGTCAGTAACCATGTGATATTCAGGATATCATGCACCAAGTTACTATAAGTTTTGCTGATCTTGAAACTGTTTGACTCGCTTTGTCAGTAACCATGTGATATTCAGGGAATGTTGACTTTCTGTAGTTATGCAGAGTTTACCATGATGTACGGAACTGTTCACATTTAGTTCATTTTGGAATCTCGACTTCCACCTTGTCAGTGTAAGCTGTGTGTTTTGGAGTATCGTGTGTGACGTGACCATCGAATGGGTGATAAAGATCTCGGTTACAATTCCAAAACAAATGGTCCTTCCAAACAGAAATGCAACATATTACCTGACTTGACCTTCTCGATCCTGAACTCCTCTCAGATTAGCGCCAAATTATGTTATATGGCTGAGGAAACTAAATTTCATTGTTTGTCTTTGAAATTTCCCTTGAAACTGACAGAATGTGTCTGTTTTGAATTATTTACGTCAAATGTGCAAGACACGTAACATTTCCAAATATTCTCTTTAGTGTTGATCTAAAGGACAGTCGGTCAGTAAATAAAAGATATTTGGACAGCCATGTTTGGTCCTTTACCTATTTAGATACTTCGCATCATCGTTACTGGAAAAAAATTCCACAGGTGTGTTTGAATTTTGGAAAAAGAGAAATTCAGTTGTCAGGAAAGTAAGGGACCAAGTCAAACCCTACAGCTGCAGACTTTGTCACCTTTGACAAGCGCATAGACCATTGGCCTCATGCAGAAGCACACATTATTAGAACTAGCCTCGACATTTTTCTTACAAAGTCTCTGAGCTGATCTAGCACAAAACACATGCCTATCAAAACTCTATCCTCCTTACAGATAGTCATGTATGATTACCATTTCTGGTGTCCTCCGCCGTTAAGCTGGAATATTGCTACAAGCGGCATAAAACCAAACTCACTGACGTCACCAGATTGAACTTCTGCCGATGAGATTGAGACGACATGTTTTCATTTCTGTTCCATCCGACTCAATCTGATTTGGTGTCACCATTTATATCGCTCGCATCTTGCTCATATGTTATATGTCAGCATGTGATTTACGACACAAATCGTGAAGCCAATAGTGTCAACAATATGCTGATTTGTAGCTCCGCCATACTCATTGGAGTATACTTATACTAAATAACACGACACTGGGAGCAGGACAATTACCGCCCAGGACAATTGCCACCCAGTTACTTTTGGTATAATAGTGAGGACTATTGTCACCCAGAATTTGTATGTAACATTATTTGAGAAAATGAAAGCATGTTGTCAATAAACACAAACTTTAGGTGATGAAAAGTCAATCTTTTCTTGGTATATTCATTTCTTACTTTGATCAACTTTTAACCTTGAAGTAATTTTGACTCTGATGAAAACTTGTTCACTTTATACATATTTACTCAAATAATTGAGACAATGAAAAAATATGCATTGGTTAGAAAAAAATCAAACTTCAAAACTTGTTAACTTAAGACATATTTACTAACATAATTGAGAGAATGTATTGAAAGCACTAAGAAACTTCAGATTAAAGTGCTAAGAAGATCAAATGTTTAGAAAATCAAACTTGGGTGCTGCTGTCTCAATATACATATGCTGAGATGAATATTCTGATAAAGTATGCACAAAGACCTTGCTAGAAACCCAGTACAAATCTACCGGGTTCATCCTTTTGTTCAGCATTAAATCGAATTTAGTAGTGATTTTAGAAAATTAAACCGCATTACACAAAATTGCCAGGATTTCACATCCCCCTCACTTTCACCATGGATAACCAAGTAGAGTATGTTATCTTTAACAAATGTGTTACGTGAACATGACAAATGTAATTGGGCATTTATTGCTAGTGCCATGAGTGTGATTAGTGCAATGATAAAAGTATTATGAAAGTAAAAGTACATGCATCACATACAACTCCATTTTAATAGTGTCGTAAATTCTAGATTGAAGTTGATGTGCAAGATTTGTCTTGTTGCTGTAAGTTGGTTATATGGAAGAATATGTTATTATTTGTTACGGATTACCATGTCAACCTTAATAAAAGTTGGAAAAGAAACTGAATTACGTTTTTATGTTTTGAGTGGCAATTGTCCCGGGTGGCAATTAATCCGGGTGGCAACTGTCCTACACACATACCATAATACTTATACTAAACAACATGACACTCATGCGGTAATGCCAAATAACAAGACAAAAAGGAGACCTTAGTTAGCTGCTGATGTGCTGACGCACAACCAAATGTAATGTTGCATCACGTAATAAAAACGTTTTTTCTTCAAACTAATGTTGTGACCGTTGTAAGACTCTTGCATGGAACATGATAGATGGTTGAAAAGATACAAAATGTAACGCGGTATAATGCCTTGAAGGTATTTTCGGTTATCAAAACATCACATTACACAAATAATATCTGAGAGAGCGTTTCGATTTACCCACGTACGGCTTTGTCATGCGCTGAACTAAAACTCTTTATGTCTTTGTTGACAGAAGACAGTTTCACTTACGGGAACGGTCGCAACTTCACAACCCTAGACCGAGACAACGATGCCTACGCGTCAAACTGTGGCGCCCTCTATCCCAGCGGATGGTGGTTCGGGGAATGTCACTCATCTCAACTCAACGGCCAATACAACAACACAAACTATGCTTCTGGGGTGTGCTGGTCCAGGTGGAAGGGATATAATTACTCACTCAGATTCTCGGAAATGAAGATTCAACCAGTGTAAACCCTAGAAGGAGAATCCTGATATGCCCACTTGTCAGAGGAGTACACAAAGTACCTGATCAGGACTACCAGTTGTCAAGCGGCCATTTTTGTGGCTCAGTGGGTTAGATCGCTGCCTTTGTGTGCTGGATAATTTGTGCCTGCCTGAGTGTGTATTGGAATCCCGGATGGAACTCACCCAACATTGTTCTAGAATTTCTACTTTTATGAGAAAGTGTAATCCCAATATGTAACCTTATGTTGAATTCTGATCAATATTACTTAACGTGGCCGGACGTTCTACTACGACAACAGTAGATGTGGCATACATAACATGATCATGTGGCATACATAACATGATCAAAGGTTCAGGCAGGCCAGTATGTCTATTGTTCTAGGAGCTAATAACGCTGTTACACATTCTGCTGGGGACTGGTTAGTTCGCTTCTTACACGACAGAGCACGACAGATAATATACCCTGCAATGTATTGTTTCGTTGAACTTAAATGTGCTATTCACGAAGACCTAACGTAACATGGCTATTTCAAAGGTCTTAAACGCTTAAAAACCTATCAACTCTGAGCAAAGTTCTAGAACTCTCTTAAAGCTCTTGTCAGAATGAATATGCCCGTAGGTACCTCAACAATTTTGAAGTGAAGGCACACAAGTTTTAACTGCTGGAATAGTTCTCGGTATATAAGGAAAAGGACCGTCAGAAATAGTTATTGCAAGCCACGTTTTGTGAGCGTTCAGTTCAATTAATGAGTGAATCATCAGTCATTTCAAGGCAAACTAGTGGTTGATACCATTCAAAAGAAAATGTAGTCATGGTGATCAGCCACCTTACTCTGATGTCTAAAAAATACATATTTTCCAAAACCGGAAGCCTAATACATTCGTGTTGAGAGTAGTTGTAAGTACAGCGTACGGTCAGATTTATGCCTGTTATAGAAAATAAGCTTTAACGAAAACATGGCAATATACATTTTAATGGGGTTTTAAAAGTACCTTCTCGTATTTTTTTAAGCTAATGGTACCTTTTCCTGAAATATAAAATAATCATGTATGAGTTCAGTCATTCTCAAGTTCATTCTGCATGATACATTTTATTTACCAACAAATACAGTATTGGCATCACAGACCTTGCTACAGAACTAACACATTGATATAGCACACTAGAGTGGATGCTGCCCACTAAATGCTGCATGTTTTCAAGCTGAAACAACAGAAAATAGCAGAGTCGATTGTACAGTTGTGACTATATCATGAGTAAATATTTGTTTTAGCAGTATTACAGCTGTACGATGTTGTTTGTAAACAAATCTAGACCAGACAATCCAGTGATTGTCACCGTGCGATAAGGCAGATACATTGGTTAGAACCAAATATGTTAGCCATTCGGGTGTTTTTTCTGTATATATATTTTTAAATCACACACATATAATTATTTGAAGACGCTTCAAAACGCATAGCCTGTTTTATTACAAATTGTGAGTGAAACGCTACATGAATAGTATGTTACATTGATATTTAACAAACAAATACATGTATACAGGGTTGTTATTCACATAGATAAAACTGATGTTGCATATGAAGATTATGTTATATGTTAACTAAGCACAGAAACAGACAAATGGATAAGTGTGTTCCTCAAGAACAAAATGATGAAGTTGAGATTGTGTCATGTATCTATCATACAAAGAAACATCCAAACATAATGTAAATTCATGTGTTCTACGGGTAGTCCATTCTCTTCCCACAGAGTTTACTTGTCATATCTTCCTACGAACCTCTGTTCTAATACGGCCCTTTCATGGTGCGAGTGTTCAGGATTCGTGATTGGTTGCAATCAGATTTAGTTGTGCAGTCAGTGACGTTTCAAAAGAGATCATTCGCAAGGCCTCGGTAATTTCCGTATGCTTCGGGAAGACTGGAACCTCTTCCCCTGCGCGATATGCAAACGTTTCTTCTAGACAGAACTCAGTCATGTAATGGCGGATCAATGGCGTCACCATCGCCCTCGTTGACAACGGACAAGCTTGCCATTAAATGTCTTGTGTGTCACATCAACACAAGTCCCCGGCAGAATAGAGGGATATTTGTGGCCCCATTTTTACTTGTATCGATGTAACACGTGTTCTGATTGGATAGAAAGAAGGGAGGTAACTCGTGTTGCGATTTTTTGCCGCTAGGGGATTTTACGAGAACTGGGAAATATGGCCGTATTAGAACAGAGGTTCGTAGGAAGATATGACAAGTAACCTCTGTGGGAAGAGAATGCAGGTAGTCCTAAATGACGGCGTATATGAAGAATACATTATAAATCACATAGTATAACTCACATCTAGAAACAAATCAATATACACAAGGTATGTTCTTTAGACATGTTGAATGTGAAGGTTAGATTGTGTTCCTAGCATGGAACATAATGAAATATAGGAACATTTCACCCCTATTGTATGAAGACAAATAAGATTTGGGGTTGTTGTGCACATGGAACATAATGTGAGGTCTTACCTTACTGTTGTCACTTGAATGTCCTCTGTAGTCATTTAAATGTACATATTTTATTTAATTAAATTTTGATTGAAAACGGTTGCGATTACATCAGTTACCTAACACGTAACTAACATGGCGCAATCAAAATATTGCACTTGTATTGCATGCATCATGAATATACTAACTCGACATTCTCATCATCTCATGTGCGTCTCTTTTTATGAAGAGTATATCATTCACAGAAACACAGTAAAACATGGATGATGTGTGTGTTCCCGAAAGCGAACAAAATATGACGGTGTGTATGAAAATGTATTACACAGTAACCTACTGTCATACCGAATTCAAAGGGACCACAAAGTTTAGTTCGGTGTAACCGTGGTTCGTTAAACGCATTTCTATTGAAACATACAGCAAGAGGTCGTGGGGACAACAACTTCGATATATCCGTTAGTTCGTTATAAACGTAGTTGATTGTATATAAACTTATCTATTATACAGTCCACCCGGAGAGCGGAAGGTCGCGGGTTCGAACCCCGACCGCGTCATACCGAAAGACGTTAAAATATGGTACTTGTTGGTCCGTGCCTGGCGCTCGGCATTAATGGGTACAAGGACTGATCGGCTCGGAGTCAGTATAATGTGTCTGAGTGGGGTATTCATGCTTCACTGCGGCGTGGTATCTCAGTGGGCTAGCACTATAAAACCAGCTTAAGTCTGGGCTAGTACAAACAGCCGCACATACACATACACACGTATGCACGTCGTCATATGAGCGAAATATTCTCAAGAACGACGTTAAACCCAATTTCACCTCACCTCATCTATTATACACTGAACCAAACAAGTAACACGGGTGGGTTAGAGTTTCACACATAAAACATAATTATGTTGTATATGAACATTATCTTAACAAGGTTCAGCTAACAATGCGTAGCCATTGTTTGCCACGATGATGTCTATCAATAATGTTTACCTGCCTTTAAAGAAAGAAAAACGAATTCCATGCCGTGTGGAATACAAAGGTTCATTTTTTTCCTGTTTCAAAGAATAACTGGCATTATGTGTTCTATACGAGTCTGCTCCGCCATGCATTTGCACATAAAAGGTAATGTAGAGAAAAGACAGTATTGACGTCAGTACATTATCGATTTCTACTGCATTAGATTGATGCACCCTAGTCATGCCAAACTGCGTCTGTTGTGTTGAATAAAGACATAAGATGTGCTGTGTTTTTATTTCTGCGCTGACAGTATAACAGTAGCCCAGTGGTTAAAGCGTTCGCTCGTGACGCAGAAGACCCGGGTTCGAGTCCCCACATGGGTACAATGTGTGAAGCCCATTTCTGGTGTCCCCCGCCGTGATATTGCTGGAATATTGCTGAAGTGGCGTAAAACCATACTCACTTACTACATGTTATATCTGACCATAATGTTTATAAATATAGGCCAGGGCGTTGTAAATCACTTTTGAGTCTCGAACGAAGATTAGAGTTACTTAACCACACGTGACGCCCCGCCCATTTGGTGTCCTTGTGTATTGTGGATGAAGATCAGTATACCCGGGTGCGATGAGGGCAATGTTTTGGAATTGCCTATGACGTCATTGCATCGTTATAGTTCCCGCAACAGCTGAATTCAGGGGAATCGGTATACTTTAATTGGATAATAAGTTGGAGGATGGGTAAGTGAGTGAAGGTTTTACGCCACTTTTAGCAATATTCCAGCAATATCACGGCGGGGGACACCAGGAATGGGTTTCACACAATGTGCCCATGTGGGGAATCGAACCCGGTTCTTCGGCATAACGGTTTAACCACAAGGCTACCCCACGACCCCTGGTGGATGACAAGTAAACATAAGTGGTTATTTTCAGGATAGAACGGTATATAATATCCTTGATAATTCGGATGGAGCAACTGGTCTGCCTCACTGTTGAGTTACTTGTTCTGTTTGTCCCATATGTAGTAGGAAGATGAATACACAATGACAGAGAAAGTGCAGCCCCAAATATAACAAAAGTAAAATATGGTGTACTTTGACGTCCATCTTGTGGTTTCGTTCAATCAAATTACCAGTACCAGTAGGTCTTTTCTGGGATAGTAGTTACCGTGCAAACGAGTGAGTGAGTGAGTATGGTTTTACGCCGCTTTTAGCAATATTCCAGCAATATCACGGCGGGGGACACCAGAAATGGGCTTCACACAGTGCACCCATGTGGGGAATCGAACCCGGGTCTTCAGCGTGTCGAGCGGACGCTTTAACCATTAGGCTACCCCACCGCCCCTACCGTGCAAACGAACTATGCCAGACAAAATGAAGTCTTTGTGTTGGACATTGATTATCCATTCTGCCGATGACATTTGGAAACAAAACCAACATTAGTGTAATCACAATGAATGTCAGTGATCAAAATACCCCGAGTCAGTGATCAAAATACCCTTTATCTGTCCCGAGCCAAGACCAAGCAAAGGTAACAACCAATATACCACGACAATTTGGTCTGTTTGAGAGCAATCAGTCATGACCCAGCACCTTGATGGCGTCTATCTCTACGAACTTGTTACTGACGTCTTTAAACGCCGCCAGGTGGATAGCATCAGACCGTTCAGCGAGAGGCTGCAAGAGTACAAACGGACATGTTTACAAGTTTGTATAGACACGTGGAAGTTTTTCCGAGAAACAGACATATTCAGAGAGGGAGATTGTACAGCAATGCTTCAACCTTTATATATAAAAACAAAACATTAAGAACATTGAAATGATTATGACAGAAAAAGTGGACTAAGTGTATATTAAAGATGTTCTGTACATCGAACACCATCACACGTATGATTTAACAATATTTCAGCATTTTTATAGAAAAGCGCCTTTGAGCAGTTGTACTGGATATCGGCGCTATACAAATGTATGTATGTATGTAATCTATGTATGTATGTATGTATGTATGTATGTATGTATGTATGTATGTATGTATGTATGTATGTATGTATGTATGTATGTATGTATGTATGTATGTATGTATAGCAAAAACAAATCATGTGTTGCAAATTACACATCCCTTTACGTAGCACACGTGCACTGGAATGTACGCGTACAGATTTTGTTAAACAGAAAACCGCATCACAAGTCCATGTTTAATGATAAACGACTCACAAACCATCAACGGGAGCATGCCAATTTGATGAGAGCCAAGTTAATATTTTTGATGAGCATATGCTTCTGCGATCATCTACTTCTTTAAGCCTTGTGTTAATGACCATCAGCTAAATATATAATGTTCCGACGTTTGCAGAAGGTATGCCCAAAGAATAGGAACTGAGACAATAACTTACGAGAACGAATGAGATTTTACGGCAGTTTAAACACTATTTCAATAATATAATGGCGAAAGACACTAACATTTGGGGTCTGTCTTAATACTGCAGGAGATATGTTCATTAATCAATGATCTATGGTATTTATAGATGTCAATGATTATTAATTTGCATGTTATTAATCACATGTCTATCAAACATGAATCAGTTGCAACGTTAATTTACTCTGCAGGGTGTCACGCTACTTACTGCCCTTTCATTAGGAGCCAGGAATCGTGAAGCTTAAAAGGTACGCTTCAGTGAAACTAAAAATTACCTCCTTTTTGTGCCCCAAAGCTTTCTATAATGATTTTACTCAAGGAAAGCAATACGTAACCTATGGCTATTGAGTTAAGGGTTTCCTCATTTAGAAATCTGACCAACCACAGTTATAGGATTCTGGCTCCTCAAAGGGACACAACTCTTCACGGTATATTACTACGTTTCAAATGAACTGACCACCATTGCCTAACATGCTACCTACCCCTATCCAGCTCTTTAATAAGGTTTGTCCATTGTGCAATATTCCAGCTACGTGTAATCACTAAGTCATCGAGTGAGTGAGTGAGTGAGTGAGTGAGTTTGATTTTACGCCGCTTTTAGCAATATTCCAGCAATATCACGGCGTGGAATCGAACCCGGTCCTTCGACGTGACGAGCGAACGCTTTACCCTCTAGGCTACCCCACCGCCCCCTAAGTCATCGAGTTGAGATCACCCAAACCAGTGACTGGCA